GCTCGGCAATAAGAGTTCTTCTGACGAGAAATTATCCTTTTTCCGGCACACGATTACCAAAATTTATCTTTTTATGAAGTAAGAGGATAAAGTAAAAATGGAGGTCGTGGCGATATGGGTGGCTGAGGTGCGAGTGTGATCTCCGATTAATTCATGTGATTTTTTTTATTTTTTAACGCCGTAAAACAGTTAAAAATATTTGTAACGTGCTAAGTGGATAAGTTAATTTTTGCAAATTTACTTCACCTCTGGAAAACCCAATCTAACTCATATACAACGTGAATTACGAATGCAAGTACAAATGAGCGTTTTTTGGCGAGAATTGACAAAGAAAATATTTGCTCTTTTGTAATAAAATATATTTCCAAAGGTACACCAGCTGCAGATTTTTATTAGTATTGCTTATTGTTCCCTTCGTGAAAGAACCGACTGACTGCCACGAGAACAGAACAATTATTTTACAACTATATGATGGACAAAGTCAGGTCTCGGGATATTTTCCCTGAATATTCCTATTTCTCCTGCCTTTTAGCCTTCCATTTTGCCTCCATCGTCGTTATCATGTGCACTTTAGATCTTAACTCAAAGATATTAACCGTTCAAAAGTCCCGCATTTCCAAAATATAAATTAATAATTGAAATTAATAGCAGAAAAAGAACATACACCGTTTTTGGTTTACCTTGTTTTACAAATCTAGAATAATGCATAATGGAAAATAACAACTCGTTTTTAAGACAATTTCTTCTATTGGACTTAACTAAGATTATATTATTTTAATTTTCTGATAAAGTTGTAAATTTTTTATAATATTATAAATTCCATAACAATTGATAATATTCCGAAATTTGATCTTCGATTTCTCTGAATTTAGTATTGTAAATTTTGATGTTTTCAAAGTCAGTTTGAATGTTAATAACATTTGTTTCTAACACTTAGAAAAAGTCATTGTCAAAATATGATTTGTTTGCGGCGAACTGTGAGATGTAAAGTTTGGTATCAGAGTAAATTAGTGGACATTTTTGTGTATAGCTTAAATGCAAAGAAGATTACATAGAAGATTTCTCTGAAAAATAAAACACTTCCATTCACTTACGAGCTACTTTTAAAAAAAATTAAAATATTCAATTTTAAATCCACCACTTCAATTTCGTGATTGCTTCATAATATGTGCATTTCTTTTCAATACTTTTGTCAGCGGTACTTTATGTATTTAATGTATTTTTGAGGTGTTTGTTAAGTCTAAAATAAGTATAGGGTCTACAACTTTTGAGTTATAGACTGATTTGGCGTCGTGGGTAAAAAACAAACAAAACAACCCGAATACCCAAATACCGTAAAGAAGACAGATCAATCAGATTTGTAGAAACCATGTATTTTGAAATAAATATCATCCATTTTTTATATTTTATAACTATAGTATTTTTAATTAAACTAACAACTATTTCGAATTAAATACTTTCCCTTAATTGCACTACTCGGTACACAAAATTCTCCACGCCCGTATTCATGGCAGATGTATGGCCGGGTAAAGGTTAACCGGAGTCC